ACACTTCCAGGGATGGGACATCCACAGCTTTTCTGGGCAACTTGTTCCAGTGCCTCACCACTGTCATAATGAAAAATTTCTTCCTAATATCTATTCTAAATCTACCCTCTTCCATTTTAAAAGCCTTCCCCCTTGTCCTATCCCTGCATGCTCTTGTAAAAAGTCCCTCTCCAGTTCTGCTTGATATCTGTCACCCAACTCATCCATAACTGGGAGGAGATGGCTTTTGTGGTGCATTGTTGCTCTGCAGTCCAGAATTGGAATAACACTGTGAGACATGACGTTTCTTCATGCCAAACTATTCTTCTTGGTGCCAACCCAGATGAGCTCTGTATTGAAAGCCTAAGCAGCTGGGAGGGATTATGAAAGAGAGAGAGAGAGAGTACTAATGACATCACTTCCAATCAAGGTGAAAGTTATTTAGACTGTCCTTGATCATTGAAATTACATCTTATGAAATACCAGATAGATCTGCCTGCTGTGGTCATATTGCTGTACCGTGGGACCTCAGCAAACTGGTTAGTACACTAGAGTAGTGTAGGTAGTATTTACCTTGGTGTGGTCCAATGTAAAGCTCCATATATACCTTTCTCACTGTTATCCTGGCCCCTTGGCTTGTTAGGGAATGCATTTGCTATGCCTAATTTTAAGGTTTTCTATTTGATGTTTCTTCTTCATCATAGGAGAGTGATAAATACCAGTGTCACGATTGACCTATTCATCTTTAAGCCTTGTGTTTCTTATGGTTCACGTGGAGACGTCTCTTTATACTCTGGTAAAGGGCCGTGGCATTCATGTAGAGGAAGTTGGGCTGAATTTTGATAGCTGAAATCTGCTACCAAAGCAGTTGCTTCTGCTTCTGCCTTTACTTTACAAAAGTAAAACCCAACAAGTTGGGGACTAACCCTTTGCGCTGCAGAGGGCTATTTCCCGGCGTTAATGATCCTCTGTGCCCCTCTTCCTCTGGCAATTACTGACCTTCAAATTTTTCCTAGAGCCAGCTCTGATGTTAAGACAACAGTGGTTTGTTTTAAATTTGCGATTTACTGAATTTCAGAGAACGTGCACTGCTGGAGTTTGCTTTTCATGCATTGCTGTCTATATTGCTGGATAGATTCTGTAATGCTCAAGTAATGAAGAGTTAAGTCTTTCTTTGGTATATTTTGAAACCCCTCATTTCAGAGTGCTGAAGGCAATGACTAAGGTGCCTATTCCTTAAAGCCATGTTGCACTGGAGAAATATATGACTCTGATCCCCTATATATGAATCTATTTGTAAAGTCTTATTCCAGCTTCATGAATAAAGTCCTTTCTTTACCCCAGCTTCATGGTGAAAATACAGTAAAAGACATTTATCTGATATTGTGGAAAGTGAGTATGACATGGGGCAGAATAGAAATCAGAATTCCTGGGTATTCTGTCTACCTGTGTGAATTGGAGAGAAATTATAGCCTGCTGGTGTCTGTGCTTTCCGATCTGTAAGACAGGGATATGGATATATTCCTACCTTATGGGAAAGCTGTGAGTCCCAAGTTAATGACAAAGTCTGTGACAAATCATAGAAATTCAATTGTGAAATAGTGTGTAAGCATATAATATTAATGTTTTATAATCTCCCTAAACTGTCTCTGTGGATATCTTTAGTGAGAGGGATATAGTGATATCAAAAGAAATCTTTTTTCACCCCAACCATTTTCTTTAAAACCCAAAGTGAAAGCTGTTTCCACCAACTGCCATCTCTGCAACCATCTGGAAAATCACATTTTCTGAAGCTTTCCTTCTCTTTATCAGCTGTAACTAAAGCTATAAAATGGGAAGATGTCCCTGGTTTAATTAACACCCCTGTAGTTCAAAAGCTGATCTTAGTAATGAGAGGCAATTATAGCCTTTATTGAGGGACAGTCAGGTGGAACAAACCTAGCATCAATCTATTGAAGAAACTTCCCTTTCCAGGTAATTTGGAAACTGCTTTATATAATGAACAGACTACCTGGCCCAATACAACAGGTGAATCGCCTTGTTTTGTAACCTGAAAAGAACTTCCTATTTTGAGTTATCTACTTCTTTTGTAACCTGTTTTTTACATCCCATCTGTCTGCCAACAACTAACTGAGCTAAGGAAATACCTGTTGCTTTTTGGAGGGCATTATTGCTGGTTTTCTCCTTTTATTTTCCTTGTTTACTCTTGCTTTTCGTTTTGAAGGTTGCCTGGTGTTCATATTTTTGTTGTAGCAAAGCTGCAGACTCCATGGTGAGTACACATCCTGAGGGCTATGCAGAGTTCTGGTTTCTGCACCTCAAAAATGATGTGGTAAAGCTAGAGTAGGTCCAGAGAAGGACATTGAAATGATCAAGGGAATGTGATTTCTGCTATATGAGCTAAAAAGGCTGTGGAACCAGTTCACACAGGAGAAAACTGAGAGCAGAGATAAAGCTGAGTTTAGCTGAAGTCATGAAGGTGATAGATAAGGTACATGTAGATCTTTAATACTAGACCTAAGGGGTACTAGGTGAAACAAGATCTGCTTGAAATTATGATGTACGTTTCTAAACAGCAAACAATGAGCTTCTGAAATCTGTTGCCACAGGAGATTGAGGAGGTGGGCAGTGTCAACAATTTCAAAAAAAGGATTAGACAAATTCAGAGCTGCAGATCCATGACTTGAGTCTAAAGGTGATGGGCAGAGCTGAGGCAGCACGAGGGGAATGGTCCTGCTTCAGCAGCGTACCTCAGGTGCAGTCTGGCCTCCAGCTTCTGATCTGTAAGAGCGTGGGTCTGCTGTGTGCCCCATGTTTCTTCTGCCAGCCCTCTATGGATATCCAAATTTCTCGGAGGTCTCAAATAATGCTAGATGCTTCTTTCTGGAAAACTGATTTAAACCCTCAGTGTCTGCAATGCAGGCACCTGTACTGGAACCAGTCACTGAAGGTGGAGTTCTACTCATTAGTAAGATGCCTGCATTGGGCTGTTTGCAGCTATATGTCTACCTGGGCAGTAGGTGTCTAAATTCTTCTGCAGTCAACAGATGTTTATAGTCAGACTAGTGGGGACCTAATGAATGTCATTTTGTCTTGCCATAAGGTAGACTTGGGGTGGTCAGTTAAATAACTCACTACTGCCTGTTTTCATTAAATCTTTCTTGACTATAACGGGAGCTTGGATACCTGGCACACACATAAATACCAAAATGTAGGTATATTAATCTTTACCTGAGTTCTGCCCCAAGATTTCTATTATAATAAGTGTGGAGAAATAGGTATCTCCTAAGAATAACTCACTGACCTGGTTTAGACACCTGGGTGTAGATGCGAGGAACTGCACTTGTGAAATGCATTTTTCTATTCATTGACTTTAAGAGGAGTCTAGATAGTGGTACCCACATGGTCAATACACACCATACCCAGGTGAGTCCCAGCCGTCCCATTTTGAAGACTTTGGTACTGTCACTTAGAATCTCAGCTGTAAGAAATTTAGATTTTTAAAGCAGTGTGATGACAAAAAGTGAAATTATAATTTCAAAACAGTTGTGTTGCCTCCCCTTATGGTTTGATTTAGAATAAAGGCTTAGCCACAATTTTACCATCTGTAAACTATGGTGTGAAAAGTGCTACATCCTCTGTCCTGGATTAGTTTAACATCCTGATGAAATTACCTCTGCCAGACTAGCTATAAAAACTTTAAAACTATAAAACCAGCTGGTAAGTTGTTTATTCTTCTATAATTATCCTGGACTGCATCCTCAGCAGTGTGGCCAGAAGATTGAGGGAGGTGATTCTGCCCCTCTACTCTGCTCTGGTGAGACCCCACCTACAGTGCTGCATCCAGCTCTGGAGCCCCCAACATAAGAAGGACATGGACCTGTTGGAGTGGGTCCAGAGGAGGCCACGAAGATGATCCGAGGGCTAGAGCACCTCTGCTGTGAGGACAGGCTGAGAGAGTTGGGGTTGTTCAGCCTGGAAAAGAGAAGGCTCTTGGTAGACCTTATTGTGGCCTTTCGGTACTTAAAGGGGGTCTACAGGAAAGATGGGGACAAACTTTTTAGTAGTGCCTGTTGCGATAGGACAAGGGGTAATGTTTTTTAAACTAAAACTGTTTTTAGTAACGGTAATGATTTTTAACCTAAACTAAACTACTAATGGTAACGGTTTTTAACCTAAAGGACTGAAAATGTAGACTAGATATAAGTAAGAAATTTTTCACAATGAGAGTGGTGAAACACTGGCCCAGGTTGCCCAGAGAGGTGGTAGATGCCCCATCCCTGGAAACATTCAAGGTCAGGTTGGGCAGGGCTCTGAGCAACCTGATCTAGTTGAAGATGTCCCTGCTCATTGCAGAGGGGTTAGACTAGATGGCCTTTAAAGGTCCCATCCAACCCAAACTGTTCTATGATTCTAATTAAAGATAGAGCAGGAATTAAATCCCTAAAGGCCTACGGTGTTCCAGCAGTGAGTGGCATAGGGTGTCTAGGAGAAAGGTTTGTTTAGTATGGAAGACTTTGTAAAGGAATTCCTTTGTTTGGTGGGTCTGTGGATGTTGTTAACTCCATGCTGCCAGCAGACACATAATTTGGATGCCATCAGTGTTCTCTGGTTTTGGGACAGGGCAACACCAACTCCTCTCAAAAATGCTATGGAAAATTCCACCTATTTCCAAAGTGTCCAGTATTGCATGTGATCCAGGATGGATGTGAAATTTCTTTAGCGAATGAATGTGATATAATCTTGTTTAGGAGAGTGCACAGTTCTTTGAAGTAGGATGGATTGCCCATTCTTTCATCTTTCCCATTCCTGTGTGTACAACTTTGTTGTTCTGTGTCTTATTTTCTTTGGTTATGGGGCATAGGCCAGGAGATAGGAAGATTGTGTGACTGCAATGTTCCTGTAGCCTTGGATCTCACTGCAGCATCAGAGTCTCTCTGATTCATGTGGCTTGTGTGAAAGCGGGACTGTGGTCATCACGTGCCTTGCTGACTGTTGTGTTTTTTCATTCCCTCTCCCAGGTTATGGACATGCTGCCCCAGGGACAGATGCAGGGAAGGCCTTTTGCATGTTCTATGCGGTCCTGGGGATCCCACTGACACTCGTCATGTTCCAGAGCTTGGGCGAGCGCATGAACACCTTCGTCAAGTACCTCTTGAAACGCATCAAAAAGTGCTGTGGAATGAGGAGCACCGAGGTCTCCATGGAAAACATGGTCACTGTGGGTTTCTTCTCCTGCATGGGAACACTCTGCATTGGAGCAGCAGCCTTTTCCCAGTATGAGGAATGGAGCTTTTTCCATGCTTACTATTACTGCTTTATAACATTGACTACGATAGGGTTTGGAGACTACGTGGCCCTGCAGACCAAAGGGGCCCTTCAAAAGAAGCCTCTCTACGTGGCTTTTAGCTTTATGTACATTCTAGTGGGGTTGACAGTCATTGGGGCATTTCTAAATCTGGTTGTTCTCAGGTTCTTAACCATGAACAGCGAGGACGAGAGGCGGGATGCTGAGGAACGGGCGTCCCTGGCAGGGAACCGCAACAGCATGATTATCCACATCCAAGAGGACTCCCAGCATGGTCGGCCACGGTACAAGGCCGAAGTAACAGACCTTCAGTCAGTTTGTTCCTGCATGTGTTACAGGTCCCACGAGTACACCAGCCGGGTGGTGTCCCACCAAAATTCATTCAGCTCAAAGCTGAACCCCCAGTACTTTCACTCCATCTCTTACAAGATAGAGGAGATCTCACCAAGCACATTAAAAAACAGCCTTTTCCCATCTCCTGTCAGCTCCATCTCACCTGGGTTGCACAGCTTTACAGATAACCACAGGCTGATGAAAAGGCGAAAGTCCATTTAAAGGGATTTGTCTTCTTTTGCTTTACTTGTTTTCCCCAGTTCTTATCCGTTGTTTTGGGTTTTTTGTTCCCTGAGTGAGACGGAGCGAGGCCCAAGGGAGTAGAGAAAGCCAGTCCTCCTCCGAGACTCAGCTCTTGAGCATGAAGCATGGATTATTACTGTTCCAGCAAAGTATGCCTTACATTACCCCTCGGTGGATGTCAGAGGATTCAAGGTGACGTGAAGTGGGTACCAAATCCAAAGTTGCACACACAGCTGGGAGCCTTCATGTGCCGCTGGCACTCCTGACCTAATAAACTATTTTCCTCACGAGCAGGTTGCAGTGTGCGTGCGTGTGTGTGTGTTGGGTGTGTGTGCATATGTGTGTGCGCGTGCAATTCCACAACTAGTGCCATGTGACAAAAATTAAAGCATCAGGTATTTTTTTTTTTTTTCCCTTGAAGCAATTGTGTTCCAGCCTGCTTTTAACTTTTAGATTGCTTCCAAAAGGAACGGGGAGGGTGGGAGGGGAGCCAATTTTTTTTTTCATTTCTTTTGCCAAGACAAGCATGCGCCATAAGCAGTCAATATACCAGGTGTATCATGATAAATTTTTTACTGCTAGATTTTAGATTGTATTAACATTAAAAAAAGGCAGGAAAAGATGGATCATTTTAGCTTGCCAGTTCAAAATTAAAAAAAAAAAAATAAAATAAAGCATGCACTTTGTAAAACTGGTATGCGTAATAAAAACACAAGAAAAACTAGCAATGGAATTAATAATCAAAAGCAAATAATCCTATTGATTTAACTATATTTACTTTTATAATTTTCAACTGTTCCAACAATTTTCAAGTGGAATTTTTAAGAGAAATTGGGAGAATTGTTGGAACTAAAGAGTGTATTTTATTATTTTTATTTTATTTATATTATTATTATTATTATTATTATTATTATTATTATTATTATTATTATTATTATTATTATTATTATTTTGTGCAGCAATTACCTGCATGAATAGGAATTATATTTTTTGGAATGCTTGGATTAGGATGGGTATAAATAGGTGGATGTATATTTTTTCTTATATAATAGTGACAGGGCATTCCTTGTTTTAAATAAAAAAATAAAGATGATTGTCTCTAAATGCTTTTGATTTGTAAATAATGGAAAGCCTTTGTTGGTCTCAGGAAGAATTCAAGGGACAGTATCTTGTGTTTGGCTCACTGGGAACTTGTGAGATTAGATGTGATATTGCTTTTTTGCGAGGCAGAAAGGCAAAATGCATTAAGCAGTAATGGGCAAAAGCAGTTTTACTCCAGTGTTCAGAGGGTAACACTGGGAGTGATTGCGTTGGCAAGTCGTAGTGGAGGATGTTGAGACCATGTCGTGGAGTTGTTCCTTGGAGATTGTCCATCTCTCGGTTGTTCATCTGGACCAAATAGACTTTACAGAACCTAATTAGAGGCCTAATCCAGCTCCCTTTTAAGACAATAGGAATTTGCAATGATTACATGGGATTTAGCGCTTTTGGGAGATTTATCTTTGATTTCACAGGGGTAGGACTGGGAGTTTTATAAACCTGCACCTTTGTCTCTTATTTAATCCTATCTTTTAAATCGCCTTCCGTGTTAACTTGCCATACAAAACCCATCTTTTTTTGGCACTAATCACCTCCTGCTGATTCTACTATTTTGTGCTCTCGGTGTAAAAGCAATAATCCTTTTTTTTTTTCCCCTTAAACTAGATGGTGTATTTTTGTACAAGCCCCAGCTCTGAGCTCCGTGTGCTGATGGATGTTGATACCCTTTCAAAGAGGCATCTACAAAAAGCATTAATAGGGAGAAATGAGGAATGC